TGACAACATTCCAGTGAAAGAATGTTGCTGGTGTTGACACACAGAGACAGACAGAGACAGAGAGAGACAGAGAGACACAGAGAGAGAGAGAGTGTCCTCAGGCTCCTCTGCTGAAAAAAGAAACAACAACAACAACAACAGTAACAGTAATGTTGTTGTTACGACGTGGTTACGTGGTGACATGTGACACACACGTCGTTTCCCCTGTCAGTCTGCAGCTGCTGGAAGGGTCCTGGAAATGCGTTTTAAAAGCGTGGACCAATCAGAACACAGACGGATAAATAAATAAATAAATAAATAAATAAACAGAAATACATTCGTACTGATTGTATTGATTCCTCTGGGAATTGAACCCAGGACTCTCTGCTCTCTGCTGCTGAGGCAGGCGTGCTGACCGCTACGCTAAATATATATAAATTTTATTTATATAAATATATATGCTATATATGCATATATATGTAGCACATATATATATATATATGCTATATATTTATATATTTCTATATATACAGATATATATATCATATATATGGATATGTGTATATATGTATATATGTATGTATATGTATATATGTATGTATATGTATATATATCTATGTATATGTATATATATCTATGTATATATGTATATGTATGTATATATGATATATATGTATATTATATATGTATATATGTATGTATATATGTGTATATATGTATGTATGTATGTATATGTATATATATCTATGTATATGTATGTATATATGATATATATGTATATTATATATGTATGTATATATGTGTATGTATGTATATGTATATATATCTATGTATATATGTATATGTATGTATATATTATATATATGTATATATGTATGTATATATGTGTATATATGTATGTATGTATGTATATGTATATATATCTATGTATATGTATGTATATATGATATATATGTATATTATATATGTATGTATATATGTGTATGTATGTATATGTATATATATCTATGTATATATGTATATGTATGTATATATTATATATATGTATATATGTATGTATATATGTGTATATATGTATGTATGTATGTATATGTATATATATCTATGTATATATATGTATATATGTATATGTATATATACTGTATATATGTGTATTTATATATATGTATATATGTATATGTATATATACTGTATATATGTGTATTTATATATATGTATATATGTGTATATGTATATATGTGCATATATAAATATGCTACACTATGGAGCCGACCAGATCGATGGAGGGACCGCCCCCCCCTGAACATGAATGACTGTAAAACTACTGGTCCAAAAATCAAATCAAAAATCTTTCCGCGTGTGACGTCTAATTCCCGGCGTGTGTTTCCCCCCCGGGAGAGCGTTCCTACAGAAGCCTCTGGAACTCTCTCTCTCCGCTCTGATGTGAAATAGTACTGAATAAATAACGACGCTGACCTAGATTTCAAAGATGGAGGACAGAAACGGTATCATCTTAGCCTAGCGCTGCCGATCGGAACGTCGGTTCCGAGTGTTGACGATTGTTGTCGCTGGACGGAAACAGATAGTACAGGAAACGGGTAGTCGTCGTCAGACCAGCGTGGAACCATCTGTCGATGATGTCACAATATTACGTAAAAATAACAAAATGGCCGCCTTTGTTTTCTTGAAGGAAAAAAACAAAAAAAGGACGTGAGATAAATTAGTGAGATTAGTGAAATATAATTTTGCAAAAAAAATTTCCCGAACCCCAAGCGGGCCCGGTTCTAGCCCGGTTCTGGCCGTATGTTTGGCGCCCCCTGGTGTAAAAGATGGTGTAAAGACGCTTTCTCGACGTCAAACGTACATTTTCAACGCTTCGCTTCCGTCTGTTCCCTGCAGGAGCGCGGCGGCGCCATGGGGAAACTGGAACCCATCTCCCCGGTCAGCCCGGTCCACATGGACCCCGACTTGGACCTGGTCCCGGCCCGCTTCTCCAAGGAGGAGCTGATCCAGAACATGGACCGGGTGGACCGAGAGATCACCATGGTGGAGCAGCAGATCAGCAAGCTCCGCAAGAAACAGGTCCGGACGATCGACAGGTCCTCGAAAAAAACCGGGACCCCACCGGTGGTCTGACTGTGTATGTGTGTGTGTGTTTCCATAGCAACAACTGGAGGAAGAAGCGGCCAAGCCTCATGAACCGGAGCGACCCATCTCTCCTCCACCCAGTGAGGCCAAGCACCGCAGCCTGGTCCAGATCATCTACGACGAGAACAGGGTCAGTGGGTCAGAGTGGGGTCAGTGGGGTCAGTGGGGTCAGTAGAGGTCAACGCAGACTCTGTCCTGCAGTAGTTTTTCTTTTATTCTTTGCTACTAAAACAAACCCCGAGATGGAGACGGTCCATCCATCCACTCATCCATCCATCCACTCATCCATCCACTCACCCATCCATCCCCTCATCCATCCCCCCCT